TTAATAAAGGTGCCAAATACGCCCGCTGCACGTTTCTCGACTTCACTTCCGCTTTCGACTCTGTACCTAGATGTCTCTTGCTAAATAAGCCATCTATGACAAAAACTGAGTCCTGGATCACTAACTGGTTGCATTCCCACTTCTCTAACAGAATGCAGTACACCCTATACAAAGGTAAATCCTCCTCCGCTGTGCTCACTGGAGCTTTTGTCCCCCAAGGAACTGAACTCTCCCCACTTCTCTTTTCTTTCTCTCTACATGACTTACCATCTTCAAATGACATCAATTTTGTCAAATATGCTGACGACCTGACAGTATCTTTGCCTGTCAAATGTCAAAGGGACTGCTCTAAACTTAATGACTTTCTGTCAGAAATCAGCCAGTGGTCCAAGGAAAACGGTCTTACCTTAAACCCCTCCAAATGCCAAACGGTTAATTTCACCTTTAGGCATAAATTCAACCTAAGCAAACTGGTTGTCTCTCACGAGGTGTGAAAAATAGATGGCACTGAAATAGAAACCAAGTCGGAAATTAAATATCTAGGCGTCATTCTAGCTGCTGATCTTTCCTGGTCGTCTCATTTGTTGGCGATTTCTAAGAAAATATTCCGTCTTACCTTCTACATCAATAAGTTAAAACATCCTGGTATAACCCAACCCTTACTCCTACAATTCGTTAGCTCTCGCATTCTACCTATTATTCTCTATTGTTCCCCCTTAGTTTTTCCCGGACTACTGAAGAGAGACTATAACATATTACGCAGGATGTTAAAGGTTGTCAGCAGGGTAAGCAACGTGCCACTTAACCAGCTTGTTAATATTCTCGTTGACAGGCACATGAACTCATGTGAAAAGTGGGCCAAATCCATTTTATCTAACACACACCACCCTCTTCACTCACAACTCTCCCCTCGCATCTCATCAAGCAAAAGCAGAAGCCTATATAGGAAACTATATGCTCGCACCAGTAAGTACAAAAACTCAACCATACCCTACTTAGCTCGTGTTCTGTGCGATAAAGAAAGCATTAGGCGTGACACCTGTAACTCATTAAATAGTCAGTAGAACAACTGGATCTCGTCTTTCCAACTCATATCACTTATAGGTACAACATTTTCCTTCTTTCTTTTCTCTCTCTTTTCCGTTATGTGCTGCTTTGTTTCTTTCTTCCGCTCACGCCAGTAAATATGACAGCACCTCCCTTTCTAACACCTTCAAACACTCTGTTCAACTTTGGCTTTGCTACCGACATGCCAATATCTTGTTGTCATAATGAAATGAAAATTCCTTAATCTATGTAGAATTCTATTTATTGATAATGTACTAACTGGATGCAATACTGTAGTAAAAATGCTGAGAATTCCATCCTGTACCACAAGTACTGTTTTGGAATAAAGCTAATTATTATTATTATTACTTCCCTTGCATTGTAGCCTTACTAAATTGGACTGTTTGTTTTCTCAGCTATTATTGACCACGTCTATCTGAAAGTTTGTTTATTTAATCATGGTGTTTTCGTTATTCTCGTTATCAAAAATCGCCCCCATTTTCCATTTTTGTTGTTAGAATAAAAAGGGAAAGGTATCCCAAACTGATATCATCCAGGGGAATGGAATGAATCCATACATAATAGACAAAGATAACCTTTAAAAATTCAGGCTAGAGGAAATAAATTTTGAGAAATAATGGTTATTAAGGTCTGATTCTTGAAATGCATTGCTCTCCGCTTCTCGTCATATACATGACAGTTATTAGTTTACTATTTTTTCCTATCACTCAGCAGATGTTTTGCTGCCTCTGACAGGAACCGAGCAGCTGCCAATCTAATCAGCGAGCAGTTTACTACAAGACTGCATGGTGACACTGATCATTAGTATGACTGTTACACAAACTGATTATTCTGTGTTTTATTGTATACAGTAATGAAAGATTTCACTTGGTGTATAAAGGTTTACTTTTGTGTCCAGTACCGAGAGTTTATGATAAGTTTTTAATTCTTATAGAATGCCTGTTTTTATGATCATTTCTTAAATTTAATCCTCACTGAACGGTTGTAAGCTCCTCCTTTTTAATTTCTCATGCAGAAAAACTTTCTGTTTAGACAGAGAAATTTGTTATCAGTTAGTCAGACAGTGAGAAGACAATTTGAACGACATCAAATTGCGTATATCGATTGACGTTTGTTTGCAAAAGCAAACATTATATACAGTCCCAAACACTAAATAATGCTTTCATTACTAATCATATTCTCACTAGTTCATTCCAGAAAGACAGACTCTAAGCCACTTGTAGTATTCCAATTGTTGTATGAGACTTTTGAAGGCTAAGTGTTTAGAGCTATCAGACCACTGATTGGAGCTAATTCGTCGTACTCACCTACCCGAATGCCAGTGTAACAATCTTAAGACACAATCTTTGACGAGAATATATTTCTGCATTGACTTTTCCCTAGGAAGAGAAAATAAACACTTCAATTCAGTGCACTACTTTGATTAGTCTGCTCTGCTTTCTGCAGTGCTATTTTTTATTTACAGGCTGCCATTTCATGTCTTATCGTCTAAAATTGCGTCCTCCAACACGATTCATTTACGTCTTTTGATAGGTTTTGAATATTTCTGATATGCAGTGCACTGTGAACTGTACTAGTGCATGAGTTGTGGTGGCGGGTGGTAAGGAGCAGAGAAGTGAACAGAGAGTGTCAGCACCCTGTATTATGACTTAAGCGTTTTCCAACTGATTGTTGGAGATAGATGACAAATTTTGACAAGAATTACATCAAAATGAACTTTCAAGGCTAAGTCATGCTGATGGCTTTATTATGATATAACTCTCAGCTGATCGTTGCCACTTTAATTGTAAAAGTGTGAAAGTGTCAACTGAAGTATGTTTTGTGTCTCACTTATTTATTTATATATATATATAAAGAATTAGGATATAGTGTAACGTTTTTTTGCTCTCGATTTATGCATCTTTCCTATTATCATAAATTTGAGAGTCCCAAGACTTTGATTAAATTGCCTAATTCCTATTCCTTATCGGTTTTTAAAATGTTTGTTTGATCCCAGAATATTACAGCAGTCATCTCCTAAGATTTATCAGCTGCATGGAAAACTTTTTTCCCAAAAATGATTAGTTTTCGTGGAAATAAATCGCCGTATATTCAACACGACATATTATAGCATCTGTATCAGTTGAATCTCCGTGAAAATGAATACGAGTGGTGGTTAATATCCTTCCGCATTTTCTTAATCGGTGTTTCATCATGCAACAACTTTTCGCATTGTTTACTCTCCTCTTCATCTGGTATTCAAACTGTGGACAAGTCAATTATTTTTTGCTATCGTCCATGCTACCGAAATATCTGGTTTCATATCACTAAATAAACATCATATCAGAACACATAAGTTGTTTCCTATCACAAGATAGTGTCCAGTGAGAGCAGAAGGTGAAGAATTTGGGAACAACACTGGGCTATTAGATGGATAGAGATGTAAATAGATGAAAACGTAGAACCTTGAACGAAAATGCAATAGTTTTTGCTACTGTTTTTCGAAACACTAGAAGACTACGGAGAAATAGTGCCGTTGAAATCAAAAATTGTAACTTTCCATACTTCTTCCAACTTCCCAAAATAATGAGACACATTATTCTAAATACTGTAGGGTTGAAAGCAACTCAGAGTAAACATCTGAGGCCAGTATTCAGGAGGAACAGATGTGAACTCTGAAAACACTCCAACTTTTTGGAAACTGAAAAATTTTGAGCTATAAACTCAAAGTTCATATGTATGTGTTCCTCATTCTGTTTTGTCAAAAGACTTCGTCTTGCTGTTTACATTTGTAGCCTTACACATCTACTATACATGTAACCTGTTATTTATTGGTCTTAAGTGTAAACACGCATGAATATAAACATTTATATATCAGAGTTTTACCTTCCATTCTCATGACTTCTACTCAAGCTTCTGTCTACTTCTGTGACTTTCATAATGTTAATGAAAAGCGTCCAAATTTGAACTCAGTACGCAACCTCTTTATGTGGAGTATACACTTATTTTTAATATTGTCTTACTTTCAGTGAGATATCTAGGATATATAACACACTGCCATTTATGATTTTCTGATACATTTAGGATAGGATATTTTTATTTACTTACATCTCCATCAAAGATCATTCTTTTGACTAATCAATTTAGGTGATTCACTAGCACTGAAATATCTCTATTCTGAATATGCACTGGTTAGTTATTCGAACGATACCATATATATTAGTGTAGAACTAGATTAAAGTCAAAGGAAGAAATTTTTCTCCTCCAAGTAATTGTGTAGCACTAAGTAGCTCCGAGTAAAAATCAGTTTGAGGGGATAATCAGACTGCATTTACTGTGCTGAATAATGAAGTTTTTAGCATTAAATCAGCCTGCTAGTGAAAATACCGCACCAAACTATTTCCTTCCTCGAAAATTTACTGAATTCAGAATCTATATAAGAAAAAATTGTCTGTGGGAACGACAAAAAATGCCACTTAAAGAGGAGACAACTGGCTTTTGACCTGATTTTTATAAGGTGGTGCTGCTTGAGTAGGACAGTTTCATTGTTAAGTGATTTGTGCTTACTCCAATTATCTTTTCATAGTGTGGTCAGAAATTGGAAAATGTGTTAAGACGTACATTGACTTGCCTTTCTTTAGACCTGTATGTTTCTAGATTCTGAAAAACATTTGCCTTCCTAACTAGTTCTTCTTTTACATTTCGACATCCAGAAATGAAGTGACATTTGTGTCAATGTCGTCTTGTGAGACTTATAGCCACCAATGTGCCCATGTTTTTTTATTCCTACATTATTTAGTGAAATATTTCTTCGTATACAGCGAAGCGTAGTATGATGTAACTTATTCAGATTTCGCATGTATAACGGAATAAAGACAAAAATTACCATATAAACATATTCACAACTGTATCATCTTAATCTAAAAAACACATTTTTGTCCAGAAAAAATTAAATTAACTAAAAATGATCTAAGTACACAAGTCTTGCTGACAAAATTAAAACCAAAATCTGTTAGATTAAAAACATTAATTCATAAAGAATTTTTAATTTCCAATTACATAAACATGATGGTTATTAGAGTACACACATCTACAAAAGAAATAGAGGATTTGAGTGCAATTAAGTCACTCGGTACAAATTTAATTACCGAACTGAGCACTGCTGCCGTCTAACTGTATCTGAAAACACATTCCTCAAGGTGTAAAAAATTTATTGTGAAGAAATATACCACGAGGACTTGACATATGTTATATATATATATATATCAAGGATACAATTTCATATAAACTTCTATGTTTTTATGCACAGATTCTTTAGATATTATTTTTTTTGTTCAGATACACCAAAAAACTTAGTTGATTCCTCACTTAGCAACATAAATATAGTCGTATCCCTCCAGGAGCTTTATGTCCTTTTCTATATCTTCCATCTCCTTTTCTAACCACAGCTTATGGTGCATTTTTGGTGGAGTGTCAATCATGACAGATAAGGATTGGTATTGCTTGTACCTTTGTTGCCATTTACTTTTCAAGCGGTCCAGTAAAGCCTAAATTGATGTGAAGTCTTCATAGCATTACTACTATTAATTACTTGTTTCTCATCTGCTGAGATTTTCTGCAAAGAATTTTTCTCTTTTAGCTGTCTCAAATACTCCTCATAGTCTTTCTGGGCTTCAGAAGCAGCCTTCTCACGTTCAGTAAGATATTTAGGTAGTTCACCATAATTCTGCCCATAAAAAATTAGCTATGTGATTAAAATTACCTTACGCTTCACGTAAAATGGTTGGAGGCCAGAATACTTTACATCAAACTTGTGTCCTGTTCTTGTATCAACTAAAAATGCTCTTGGCTTTGGTGGTACGGCGTTGTCGACATTTTTCATATTACATTTTATAAAGTCCTTGCAAGAAAACGAATTTACTTCTGTAGGCTTCACTGCTGGCAAAGGTTCCTTTTTATTTTGAAGACAGCAGTCGTAGAAGCTTTCTGAAGTTTATCATTGCTTTAATATACATTTAGTTACTTTTCTCCGGTAATGCATCTGAATTTTGCTTTTGGCACACATCGGAAGCTGAATGTCTCATCTTTAGGTAATGCTCTGGATCTGGTGGAGGAACTTTTGGAACACCCATTGTTCTAGTGGGATACTTCTTTACATTGAACAAGGAAATGACGTCTCTTTGACTACATGATTTGTATCTGACATACTTTCTTTCGAAATTTTAAATTGATATACCTTGGTTGTGCAGATTTTGGGGGTTGTTCGAAAGATATTAGATTATAGATGCTCTCTCTCATCCCCACCAGAAACTTCAAATCAGTGGCGCTGTGATTGCCATGGAGTTTAGTTACTACATTGTTCAGTAGCAATTCAATATCCAATACATCAAATACCTTTGCAATATCCAATATCTAATATCTTGATTACGAACTAGTATAAACCAGTGATTTCTTTGAGCTCGCTTCTTGATTGTAAGGTAGAGGTTCCAGATCTTCGGTGAACTTATGCGTAGTAAATCCCGCCACTCGACTGCTTTAGCTCTGGTAGACTCCAAGAGGAGTGTTGCAAGGATTGGTTTGTAGTGTGCAGTATGTTAGGACTGAGTTGCTGCCGTGAATGGAGTTTTACCTAACATCCGTTGGTCATTCGGTGTAGTCATAAAAGTAGAATAGTAATAACAATAATAATAGGTTGTAGTGTAGATAATATAGATTGAGATAAGTGAAATAATAAAGGTGACCTAAGGAAAAGACAGATTAGTCGGTACAGTGAGAAAAGACAGAATGGGTCGTGGGGATTTAGCTTGTATGCTCATCCATTGACAGTGTGGTTTCAAATTTTAAGAGGATAAGCCATTGAGACACAAACCATGCATTTCTGCGTGATTGTCCAGCCTCCGCTTAAAAGTCTCCACAGATGGCGCTGTAGTTACGGCCGCCGGTAAAGCGTTCCAGAGACGGCAAACTCGAAGTGAAAAGAAATGTGAACGCACTCGAGTCTTTGGTCTCTGGTGTGCTATCCTTAGCGGGTTACCTCTTGGAAGCCTATAATCACTTAATGGCAGGATGCTCTTATTAGGGTGGGCCTGGTCATTTAAGATCTCATAGACGGTGATGAGCTCTCCCTGTAACTACGGTAACTAAGTGTGAAAAGACTTAATTTCTTCAGTCTTTCCTCATATGATTTGTTGCGGAGGCCGATCACCCATTTTGTCGCTTGTCTCTGGACACTTTCTAGAATGTTAGCATCCCTTTTGAATAGCGGAGGAGCAATGATATTATGCACCTCGAGGAGTGGCCTCACGTATGTCGTATACAACCTTAAGAATAGTCCGGTCACCCAGACGACAACCATGAGCACACTAGGGAAGTGAGTGGCCATAATGATGCCGCCAGTGACGGTCAAAGCTCTAATGCAGTGGGAACCAATTACCTCATCCACGACCATGACAGCAGGACTCAAATCAAAAGGTAGGAAGGTTACAATTATTCAGTGTTACGCACAATGCTACAAACAACGCGAAACAAGAGAAGAAGGACGATTTTTACAGACAACTACAAACATTTATGGGCAGCATCCCAAATGTGACATCAAAATCCTATTGGGCGGTATGAATGCCAGCTGAACTGGGAGCAGAAAACACAGGAAGCGAACTCATCATGAGTGGAGGGGCTCTGGCTCAGAGAAATGAATGAGTACGGAAGAATATTCGCTTTACAGTAGTTTGGTAATCGCAGTCAGTGTGTACAAAAACAAAGGTACATACAAAATAACATGGATTTCGCCTGACAGACACACCACCACCCAAACAGATTTCATCTCAACCTCAAGGAAGAGGAGACGTAGATAGTCTACCGTACACTAAGTCGAGAAGGAGGGCAGATGTGGGCTCAGACCATCATCTAGTCCAAGAAGCCTTCAAGGTGAAGCTGAGATCCTTCAGAATAACTGGAGACAGGCCGCAATTCAAGTTCAACACTCAGTAAGTAAAGGACAAAACTACAAGGGATACCTTCATTGCAGAAATCACAGCAAAGTCGGAAACGCTAAGTGGCATTACTGAGAAAGCCTGTGTAAAAGAACACTGTAACTAACTTTCTGAATGTAATGTTCAAGGAAAGGTGTGCAACTCTTCTATGGAGAAAGAAGAGGCACGACAAAAATGGCTCTCAACGAACAACGACCTGGAAGCTAATAGAGGAGAGGAGAAAAGGATGGTGAAAGAGAAGATGACTCAAAGCAAAAATGGGCGACGGAAGAAGAAGCTGAGTTCAATGTACACTTCACTGAATAAAGAAGTGAAGGAGATTGCTGGAAAAGATAAAAGACAATTCTACCACACTAGCAAGTGAGACAGAACTGGCAGGCCGCAGGTAAAAGAAACCTCAGGACATTATATCAAATGACCAAGTCTATATCCTGTAAGATATAAATTCGGATGATGAAACCAATAAAAGATGTTCAAAGGAACGAGATTACTAAGGAGGATTAACACATAAAACATTGAGCTGATCACTTCAAAGGTCTCTTAAGACGACCATCACCTGCCAAGAAATACACCACCACCAGCAGCACGCAGCGTACTAGCTGCCAGTGAGCACCAATCCTTCAGCGATAGCGGGAATTCTGAATGCGATCAAGCTACTGAAGTCTGGAAAGCCAGCAGTGCAAGACGGAATTCCGTCTTGAAGCACTGAAAATGGACCCAGAAACTGTGGAAGATTTTCTCACGCCATTATAATCGAAGTTATGGAAGGGAGAGAGGTTGCCTACTGACTAGAAGACAGACTATCTCGTCAAGCTGCCAAAGATTTGCCGCTTAGACCTCTTCGAGAACTGGAGTGGAATCGTACTGTTGTCCACGACATGTAAAATACTAAGCTGTCATCCAGGAGAGTATAAAAGATGCTCGCCGAAACAAGATGGATTCAGGAAAGGCAAATCAAATGCTGATCTAATTGCAACTCTACGCATCGTCATCACAGAAAATGCACAGAATGGCAGTCAAACCCCGCTCTACCTCAAATTTGTCGACTTCGAAGATGCCTTCGACAGTGCAGCGTTGATCCAGATGTAATTAGGAATCTGCTTTAACACCGTAGTGCGCACGACCCAAGTCTTTATCAACCTCATCCAACACCTGGCTATATTACAATGCCACATGTCAGGTGATCCAGAACTGGGAAACTCAGCGAGTCGTTCGAAGTGCGAAAAGGAGTACGACAGGGCCGCTTATTATCACCTATTGCCTTCTTAATTGTGGTGGGATACATTTTGCATCCGAATGTGGAGAGCGAGGAGACAGCAGCACGCTGGACCAAAGATAATAGGGCTCTAGGAGATCTGGATTTCCCAGATGATATATATTTATTGTCCCACAAACTCGAAGACTTGCAGGCGAAAATCAACAAACTAGCTGAAGAAACAGGCTGTGAAGACAGGACATCAGGTGAAAATACAGAAGACGGAGGTGCTGAAGATAACCACCGAACCGCAACAACAATAACAACCGGCACCAATCCCCATCAACAGGAGGGATTTGACAGAGGTTACCTCCTTCACTTATCTGCCCAGGAAGCATTGTTTCAACCACAAGCAGTCGGAATGGATGGATATGTCAAAGCCTGGCAGCCAGAGTCGGAAAGGCAAGATACGCCTTCACCAACCGGAAACCAGTTCGGAAGTCTTCTGCGCTAACTCAGCATAAACAACAAATTGGGATTTTCAACACAAGTGTGAGGTCAGTCAGTTCTTCTATATGGCTCGGAAGCTAGCACTGCATGGAATTATAACGCGGTACGTCCAACGTTTGCGTTACATTTTTGCGTGATTCGTTACATAAAATTTATCTTGTTGTAATACTTGCACAAGTACTCTACTACCTCTATACCTATAACTAATAACTCTCATATCAAATAGTTTTGGTTAGCCAAAATAAAAAGCAACGAACTCAATCCCCTGTAAATCTGATGATTAATTTTAAGTCGCTGATTGCTACATCAAGCAACACACTCCCTACAAATGGTTATAGTGAGCTACATAACCCACTTGTATGTCGTAAGCGTCGAGCTGAAACTGAGGATAAAACTATACTGACAGCTAGTATTAGCACTACTCCCAAAAATTCAGTACCCTCTGCTCACACAGAAACCCTCCCTTCACCTTATGTACTTATCGAAAAGCTCCAGCCTTCAAGCTCTGTTTCAGAACTATCTTCTGAAATAGAACTTCTAAAGTTGTCTATAGGAGAACTTAAGGCCGAGTTAAGGGAAATAAAAAACAAGTCAGTAAATCCTAGAATTTCTGAAACCAATACCAAAATATCCAAATTATCAGATCAGATCAGCGATATCAGATCGCAGGTCTGTGAACTGACACCTTTAACTATCCTCATGAGAACTGTAGACCTTAACAAACTTGACACGGAATCGGTATCTAAGGTGGATAACCTAATTAACTTTGTTACTACAGAAGTAACAAAACGACTCGATGCTAAACTAAATGCTATTGTCTACAACGTTCCGGACAATGAGGCACTAAAAAAGGTACAGCGCATCTTACTTAGTGAGGCGAAAATGCCCAACTCCAAGACTAAGTGCTACAGGCTGAAGAAGAGTCAATATGAAAAGTGTTGTCCTATTCGTTTTCAGTTCGAAACACCGGCTGAGGCCAGAAAATTCATCCACTCCCAACACACCCAATCGCAAGCCAGAAATTACAGACTAATAAAGGTTGCGGTGGACAAGACCGTCATAGAAAGGCGCGTATATAATTATCACACTGAGTCTAATTGTGGAATAAACAACAGGACATTGCAAGCAGCAATTATACCCAACCCTTTGAGAGATACCGTAGAATCCACCGCACCACCCCTCTCAAACCACACAGAATTATCTTCTCAGAGAGCGACACCAACCAAAAGGCCACTAAATTGTAATCAAATAGCCAATAAAACTATACCCCCTATCACCGTATATATAGACATGTCACTAAATAATCCCGGAAAAAGTCAAAATCCAACGACAGTCGACCCTGCCCTCTCCTAGCCATAAGTCCATTGGAAAAAAAAGAATATGACCCCAAATCATGCCAACAACAACAATGGCAGTATAAGTAAGCCCACAATCCCCACGGTCAATAGTATTGGCACCCAAAACGTGCGAAATAGCACCATGGCCCACACTGATAACCAACGCCAAAACAATGCTACCCTCAAGAGTACAAGTGGCAATAGTCAGAACTCGACCACCAAAAACTCAGGGCATTCACAGCATGGCACGCAAATGAATTTTGATCGGATATATGGTACAAGTCTGCTGAGAACTAACCCACAAAGC